CACATTTCTGGTGCGGTCCGCGCTTATCATTTAGTCTGAAAATGCAACTCTTTGAACCTCCCTTTCGCGGACCGCATATTTCTGATCGCGGCCGCGTTGTGGATTTCACGGCCGCACAATATTTGTGCGGTCCGTGTTTCAGATCTCTTGGCCCAGTCTTGGTTTTTGTTCAAGTTTTGACTCCTTTATGAGTTGATTATGACTCCTTTGGCTCATTTTGAACAATTCCTGCAAGCAAGCGCATTACATTAGTTTCCGTGAATACCTTCATGCATTTTTGGCCCAAAACACAAGTAAAAGAGAGCAAATAATAGGTTAAAATTCCTACTTATTAGCTCCCTCAAACTTAAGCTTTTGCTTGTCCTCAAGCAAATAAGTTAATTCCCACCTCCACTGAAACAGAAGGATATTTCAGCTGCCCTAAGGTGAACCAATCATGCATCAATTGGGACTAAAAATTACCCTCAACACAAATGAATTATCAACGACACTATGTTATGACCTTTTGAGTACCATAGTTCTATTGTAACACTAGAGCATTAATAGTTGACTTAATTAACCAAGGAAGCTCGCTCTATTACGTAGGTCATTGTGGAACCCAAACTCCTCCTCCTCTACTCTCCATAAGAAAGTCTCACTTTAGAATATAACACTCAAAACAAGGTGTTGCTCCCATACGCGCACTCAAGTATACGTGGTCGTACAAGTAATAAAATGATAAGTCGAGTGTCGAACCCACAGAGACTTGTATCAACTACCCACTAATTCACCAATATTGTTATTCAGTCAAGAATGTGATTATACTAAACTATAATTCTATGTAATAACTAAATTATCAAGCAGTAAAATGATTGTTATGTATTCAATAGAGACAAATATTCTAGGGTTGTGATCGATTCACCAATCCTATTGTGTCCTAGTAAACTCTCCCTCTCATATAATTCACTCATGGTTGCTAATAATTGCTCTCATAGCCTTCTCCCGAAGTACTACTCGCCTATTCAAAATAGATCAATGCCTATATTCCAATGAAATCAATCTATTAAGAACGCATTAAGATTATGATATTTAATTAAGCACGGTGACTAGGTATATTCCTATCCTAACCACAAATCCACCCCCCCCCCCCAAGAGTTAAGATCATTCTCTCTTCAATTCTTCTCTAATCTAAACATGGCTTTCCCAAGCATAGCATAGATAGTAAATAGAACCTAACTGTTGGCCAGACAATTAGCAATTAATCACAGAATTGAAGAAACAACCATATATTAGTGAATTGTAATAAAGTTTAAGTCAACGTTAAACAACAATATTCATGGCTAAATCGCAACCAAAGAACATTGGGTTTTTAGCCACTCATGATACTAACAAACAATTTCATAAGTTTAGATAATTGAAAATACTAAGAAAAGATGAAGAAAATTGAGATCTCTCCGCTTTCGAATGTTTCTCGTGTGTATTTTCTCTCAAAACTGGTGTCTCTCCCTCACAAATAAGTTTAGTCTAGCTTTTATACGTGTTGGGTAGGTCTAGGGCCGAAATAACCGTGTCTCGGGCGAATTTGGACAAGTTTCACGTCACCGGCGCCCTGCCTAGCGCTGCCATGTTAAGTTTTCTGTTTCTGGCGCCACAGGTGGCGCTGCAATGTCCATTTTTCATGCTTTCGTCCGTTTTGGCTCTAATTTCGCACATTTCGCCGCCGATTGCTCCCGGATCATTCCTACATATAAAAACATCTCAAATTAATATAAATCAACATATTTCACATCCTAAATTCACGAAACAAAAGTAAATATTGAGGCGATACACACACACACACACACACACACACACACACATATATATATATATACACACTTTAAGCTAAATATCAACACCCCACACTTAGACTCTTGCTCTTCCTAGAGCAATGGGAGTATCAAACGTCTCCCAACTACGTACAAGTCTCAATTATAGAGGAGCACTTTAACTTCTAATCACACACTACACCCTTGACTATGATCAATACCGGCACACAAGCATGAACATACAAAATTTCACATTCTTCCCGTTTAAGCACGCCTAAGTATAACATTTCAATTCAATCAATTCCAACAACCTATTTTTCACCACCCAACCTCAAAAGCCGACTTGTAACCACTAAGCACCCTCAATTCACGCACTCGCCCAACAAGAAAGTTTACAACATTACCAATCATTCATGAGATCATGTGCCCTCACCAACAAACAAAAGAGTGAATATAGACTAGTCCACTCATTCAAATATGCTTTTGAATATAGATTAAGGACATCACACAATTGAACAAAATTCGCTCACTCTCACGAAGAATTCATATGCATCCTGTGGTCGTACCATAAGCTTGCCCGTAGTGTATATCTCTACTAATTTAAGCTAGCCAAATCTAGGATCAATTAGGACTTTAAGGTTGTAATGTAGGCTAAGAGACGGGTATGATACATTTAGAAATAGTGACTAACGCTCCTATGCACCTTAGTACACCACATTCACAATTCAAGCACATATTCTTCTCAACCAATTCACTTGCCACAAACAATATACAACATAGCCCTCTTTTCAATTAAGCACTTCTATACTCCCACTAGCACAAATTATTAAGAATTGGAGGTGTGTATTTTTTTCTACATACTTTCACTATTATTTTTTCTTTTTTCTTGCAATTTTTCTTTTCCTTCCTCTCTTTTATTTTCTTTTCTTTACACACTCCATACATTTAAGTTCATCGGCTAGAGTCTTTTGATTTCAACTTTTAGTGCACCAAGGGGCCTTTCCATGGTTCCACTCAAAAAACTACTCCCTACTATCTCACCTTACTTCTTTTAGCGACTAAGTGCCTTAGGAGGTAATGGATCAACAATCTCAAATCAAGAACAAAATAGGGGTATGACTTGTAATGTGGGTGCCAAAGAAAAGGTCTATAGGCTCAAAGGGGCTAGCAATAGAAAATTTTATTTTTATGTGACAAGCACATCTATGACCAAGCAAGAAACGCCTACGTCATCTCCTAAATTAGCACAACTTATAATTTCGCTTCGATTAACACACGCGGCAAGTTCTAGTCTACACGATAACACATGAAATCACAAATCCTCACATACACGTTGCACATGACTCAATCAAAATGGTTCTGTTCAACTCCCAAGTCAAGCAAGCACATATAATTGAGAAATTTAAGCAATATTGCACTATGTGGCATACAAGTCAAACAACTGAGAGAAAGCGTCACCAAATAGGGTATTTACTTCACTTAGATGTCACAATTCAAACCAAATACACGGAAAGATAGAATGTATGTCATAGCCTAATGTGCCTTCATCAACCATGTCAATGAGTATCTCAGAGCGACTCAGTTTCTTCCAAAACTACTCCTAAAAAAAAGGTACCCGGTTCGAGCTACACCCTTGGAAAAGAACTCGCGCCCAAAGAAAAACCAAGGGATACTACCTAACTATTCAAAAACAGAAAAATTAGTGTTTTTAATCGAACTTAATCCCTCAAGAAAATTGTCCAAAAGATCCATCGTCGGGAAAAGTCCGAGCTTTTCTATTTTTTTCTTTTGTTTAAAGCAACTAAACTAAAACTAGACTAAATGAAAAAACAAACTAGACTAAATAATAATAACAAAAGAAACGCATTAAAACTACTAAAAGAAACAAATTAAAACAAGTTGATACAAGATATACAGCTACAGCACAGGTAGTATTCCTCCCACCCCACACTTAAACTATGCATAGCCCTCGATGCATATAAAAATGTAAAACAAAGTAGGGTGAAAAGAAAAACTCCCTGTCAGTCGGAGTCCTCCTCTGCGCATGCCTTCCATCAGTAGCTCTGGGCACATCATCATCCGGTCCTAGAGGCACCAAAGCCATGGGCTCCGTAGCATCATCCCCATCCTCGTCCTCAGTGTCTGAGCCCTTGACAGAGTTGGCATCCTCCGACGAGTGAACGAGGTTGGCAGGTGCAATCTCCAATATCTCCTTGGACGTGCTCGACAAGTCATTACGTAAATGCATATGCTCCTCGTCTGAAATACCTGCCCTACTCATGAGTAAGTTCAACGAGTTATAGAGGTACCTATTTAAGTTCTATTCTCGTTCAATACATGCTGCGGGAGTGAGTTTTGACGACGTCTCCAACAGAGATGTGATGTCCAAAAGCCCTGACGGAACCTCCACCACCTCATCATATCTGGGGTACTCCGGCACTCCTCAGAATAACATATACTGTGTGAGTAAGTTGCTGAGGAAGAACCTCTTAATATGTCGCCCAAACCTCGTGCGGGCCATCTCACCGAGCATAATCTCACCCACAATAATAGGTTTGCCGGTCATCAAAAAGAAGATGACGCACACTCGAGCTCGAGTGCAGTCGCTGTTGTGCTCCACGGGCATGAGTCTGGCTTGCACAAAATTCCGCCACACTTTGGCAGTCTTGTTGAAATCAGAGCAAACCATAGAAAGGTGAATGTTGCCTTGCTTCCTGGTCCACTTAGCATTAGAATCCACGCCACAAAGAGTGTGACGTATCAAAAGATATTTCAGACTTTTGACAAATCTTTGGAGTCTCCTCGGGTCAGCATTCTCAACCCCCAAATATGCACATAAAGACTCTCTATCCATCGGCACATTCTTCCCCCGTACACGTGCGGTGCCCCATCTAGCATCCCAATTAGCATAAAGTTCTCGAACCATGCTCAGGTTTGCATGCCCCGGGCATTCCAAGAACTTGTTCATATTTAGTACGCGTAGCCTGCCAAGTATCTCCAAAAAGTTTTTTTCTAAAGCCTTGGTATTAATTCCCATTCTCGGAGATGTACCGTCCATATGGCACGAAGTCCTGTGCCATGCAATAGTCGCATCATTGCATACCCAAAAGAGGGCGCTGGTTAAAAAAACATCATTTGGTTTTCTTTATTGCTCTCCCTTAGCAACGGGAAAGGAGTCTACCTATCTGACCAAATCCAAACGAGGGCTCGGTCTCAATGGAGCCTGCTGAGATCCCTCGGCAACCTATTTTCCTTTGGATTGCCGTGAAGAGCTTTCTCCCTACTTTCGCTTTTTGGGCGCCGGGGAAGTGGTGGAGGACTTTCTAATGCCCTTGCCTTTGCTAGAACTATCACGAGCCATAATATCCTGCAACACAAATGAGCATGAATGCGAGAACTCATCAAGAAATATGCCTAAGGTTGTCGCGCAAGTCATGAAATGACCCCACACTTAAAACTGAAGGCACAATGTACAATACTTCTAATTTTTTATCTAACATGTACAAGTGTTGCATTCCAAAGCTATGGGTACTCAAGACTTCCCCATGCCACACAATAGTAAAGAGGCACTAATCAATGTCACACACATAAGTGATTGATCATGGCTTCGTGAATTCACCTTAAGGTAAGCAAGAGGCACATGTTACTCACCTTTCCACAACCGCTGGACTACACCAAATTAGTTAAATTTACAAGATTCTACAACATACATTATATAAGATAGATGGTGTAGGATCATGTTGGCATCGAAGCCAAATTCCTTAGCATGTAAAATCTTCCCCACATACCCCACACTTAGCCCAAATTCATACACAAATATACTCGGTTACTCAGACTTCACCGGTACACCAAAATCTTCATTCAAGCATTTTAACAAACACCTTGTGGGCATAAAGTGTGTGCTTCTAATTCAACAATGGTGGAACATGGTGGCCCTCCCAAATTTCAATGAAATAGAGGGACTTCTAGTTTACTACTCCTTATACACAATAACCACACAATTTCGACCAATTCAAGCCACCCACCATAACAATTTCTTAAGAACTACATATGGGGAAAAAACTTGGGGATTAGGGCACTTGAGAGATGAGAAGTACATTGTTATCTACCAATTAGAATACAAAAAGAAGAAGAAGAAGAAGAAGAAGAAGTAGAAGAAGAAGAATAACATACCTGTAGAATTTAGGATGAGAGTAATGGAACACGTGAGAAAATTTGAGAGAAAAGAAGTGAAGAAATCGGTAGAAGCAGCAGAGAGAGAGAGAGTAACATTTTCTTTGTTTTTGTGTTTGTCTGAGTTTTAAATTTGTGTGTCTTGAGCTTATTTGGGTTAAGGTTTAGTTTAGTTGGGTATGGGAATGGGTAATAAATGGGTTACAAGATTAGGATATGGGTATATGGGTTGGGTTACATGGGTATGGGTCTTTTAATAAAAACAAAACGAAAATAAAATAAAAATAAAAATAAAAAAATACAATATACCTGGATACCCCCAGCCCAGCGCTCAGTGCTATGCCTGGCGCTGGGGGATTTTTGGATTCTGTTTTCAATGCCCTAGGTAGCGCTGGGCGCTGTTTTCGAGTTTTTTTTTGAATATAACACCCCCAATCCCCCGAGCCTTTTATAGACTCAATTTACAAGTCCTACACCATTATATCTATAATTTCTATACCGACAAAGAAAATGCAAACTCTATCTACTCTAACTAAATAAATTAAGAAGTTAAACTAGGAAAGCAATAAAAATTGGGTTGCCTCCCAACAAGCGCCTGATTTAACGTCGTGGCATGGTGCAGAGTCTCGCTTACTCATCGGTGAGTACAACCTTGGTCTTCTCACGATTAATTATTCCTCCCCAATAGTGCTTGAATCTATGTCCCTTCACCAATAATTTTCTTTCACTATTTAAAGCTCGACTCAATTGCACCATAAGGAGTGACTCTCACCACCTCAAATGGGCATGACCATCTCGATTTTAGGTTTCCAGGAAATAGCCTTAGCCCCTCCCTCTTTTTGTCTTTTCTTTGTAAAGCTTAGCATTTTCATAAGAGTGCAGCCTGAACTCATCTAACTCATTCAACTACAAAAGTCTTTTCTCGCCCGCGGCTTCAAGGTCCATGTTCAACTTCTTAATGGCCCAATATGCTTTGTGTTCAAGTTGAACGGGCAACTGACATGCCTTCCCATAAACTAACTTGTACGGTGACGCCCCAATTGGCGTTTTGTATGCGGTTATGTATGCCCATAAGGCATCATCTAACTTTGCAGCCCAATCCTTCCTATTCACACTCACCATCTTCTCTAATATTTGCTTTATTTCTCTGTTTGATACCTCAGCTTGCCCACTTGTTTGAGGATGATTTGTTGTAGCAACTCTATGGTGGACTCCATATTTAGCTAAAAGGTTATTCAACAACTGATTGCAACAATGAGTTCCCTCATCACTAATTATGGCACGTGGAGTCCCAAACCTCAAAAATATGTTCTTTTTCACAAACGCAACTACCACCATGGCATCATTTGTAGGCAATGCAATTACCTCCACCTATTTGGACACGTAGTCAACTGCTACCGAAATGTATTTGTTTCCTCTGGACAATGGGAATGGTCCCATAAAATCTATCCCCCACACATAAAAAGTCTCAACCTCTAGGATGTTGTTCAAACGCATCTCATGCCTCCTTGTGATTGTTCCTGTTCTCTGACATTGGTCACACTTCTTAAAAAATGCATGGGCATCCTTGAATAAAGTTGGCCAAAAGAAACCGGATTGCAATACCTTTGCAGCTGTTCTATCTCCTCTATGATGGCCCCCATAAGGTGATGCATGACAATCATACAACACTAATTCTACCTCATTTTCAGGAATACATCTCCTCATCAACTGATCAGCACATTGCTTGTACAAATGTGGTTCATCCCAATAGTAGAAGTTCACATAATGGAGAAACCTCTTTCTAGCTTCAGAGTCAATTTCAGGAGAAAGTACCCCACTCATAAGATAATTCACATAGTCTGCATACCATGGGGAGGGTCTTGGGTGATAGCAACAAGCTGCTCATCAGGAAATACTTCTTTAATTTGGCCACCCTCCTCCACGTGATCGTGATTTTCCAGCCTCGATAGATGGTCAGCTACTTGGTTCTCTGTCCCCTTTCGGTCTCTTATTTCTACATTGAATTCCTGCAGCAACAAAACCCAGTGCATCAATCTAGCCTTAGATTCCTTTTTTATAAATAGACACCTGATTGCTGCATGATCGGTATGGACTATGAATTTCGTTCCCACCAAGTATGCCCAAAATTTTTCAAAGGCCCACACAACAGCTAACAACTCCTTTTCAGTGGTGGTGTAATTCAGCTGTGCATCATCAAGAGTCTTACTCGCACAGTAGATGGAATAAAACACCTTTTCCTTCCTCTGGCCTAACACTGCCCCAATAGTATGGTCACCCGCATCACACATAAGTTCAAATGGTAAGGGCCAATCGAGTGCCATAATAATGGGAGCAGCTACCAACTTCTTTTTGAGTTGTTCGGATGCTTGAGGCAGGCGCCACAAAATTGAAAGTTACATCTTTTTCAAGCAACCTGCACAAATGAGTAGCAATTTTAGAAAAATCTTTAATAAAGCGTCGATAGAATCCCGCGTGTCGCAAGGAACTCCAGACACCCTTCACAGAAATAGGTGGAGGTAATTTTTCAACCGCCTCCACCTTCACCTTATCAACTTCAATGCCGTTCCTAGACACTCTGTGGCCCAACACGATGCCTTCTTGTACCATAAAATGGCATTTTTCCCAATTCAATACTAGATTTGTATCTTCACAACGGGCCAACACCTTGCTCAAATTCTTCAAACAATCATCATCAGGAAGACCCAAAGACTGAAAAATCATCCATAAACATTTCCACAAATTTTTCCACCAAATCGGTGAAAATAGCCATCATGCATCTCTAGAAAGTGGCTGGTGCATTGCATAGACCAAACAGCATTCGCTTGAAGGCGAAAGTTCCATAAGGACAAGTAAAAGCGGTCTTCTCCTGTTCCTCTGGGCATAGAAAAATCTGATTGTATCCCGAATAACCATCAAGGAAGCAATAGTATTCATGCCCAGCTAATTTGTCCAACATTTGGTCAATGAATGGAAGTGGAAAGTGGTCCTTGCGGGTTGCTTTGTTGAGCCTTCTATAATCAATGCAGACTCTCCACCCTGTCACATTGTGAGTAGGAATTAGCTCATTTTTCGCATTCTCAATCACAGTCATCCCCCCTTTTTGGGCGCACATTGAACTGGGCTTACCCAGTTACTGTCAGAAATAGGAAAGATGATACCTGCATCGAGCAACTTGATTACTTCCTTTTTCATCACTTCTTTCGTAATGGGATTTAACCTCCTCTGCTGCTCCACACTAGGGCGGTGTCCATCCTCCAAGAAGATTTTATGCATGCAAATCGATGGACTAATTCCCTTGATGTCAGCAATAGTCCACCCAATAGCCTTTTTATGCTCACGGAGTACTCTGAGCAAATTTTCTTCTTGAGTGTTAGTCAAGTTGGACGAGATAATCAAGGGCAATGTCTCAGAGTTCCCCAAATAAGCATAGCGCAGATGCGGTGAAAGGGGCTTAAGTTCTAGCTTCGGAGCTTCTTCAATAGATGGCTTAGGAGGGGTCAGAGTGACAGGCCTGTCCAACTCCTCAAATTTTCCAAACCCATAGACATAACTGCAGGACATATCCAGTACTTGCTCAATTTCTCCCATCATTTCATCTTCACTATCTTCTTCATCCCCAATCAAAGCTCGTTCAAGAGGATCTATAGGGCTAATATAAGGCACTAATGATGTAGCATCACTCTCTACCACAGAAATCAGGGATAACTCTTCATAGTGGGCTGGCAACCTGAGTGCTTTATAAACATTGAATACCTCCACTCGATCATCTACTCTCATCGTCATCTTTCCTTCGCAAACATCAATAATAGCTCGGCACGTGGCTAAGAATGGACGCCCCAAAATAAATGGGACTTCCTGATCAGGCTCGTAGTCCAGGATAATGAAATCAGCAGGGAATATGAAAGAACCCATTTGAAATAACACATCTCCAATCACACCTTCAGGATGAGCAAGGGAGCGATCAAACAACTGTAAGATTACTGTTGTAGGGCGTAGCTCACCCAACCCCAATTGTCTGAACACAGATAGCGACATCAAATTGATGCTCGCTCCAAGATCACATAAGGCTCGCCCAACTGCATGTTTACCAATCGAGATTTGGATAGTGAAACTACCTGGATCCTTTAATTTCCGAGGTAACTTGCTTTGAATTCTTGAGCTACACTTCTCAGTGAGTGCCACAGTCTCGAACTCGGTCAGCCTCCTTTTATTTGCCACTATGTCCTTGACGTACATTGCATATTTGGGCACTTCTTGTAATATGTCAACCAATGGAATATTAATTTTCACCTGCTTCAAAATATGGAAAAACTTTTTATACGCGACGTTATCCTTGACTTTCTGCAATCTTTGAGGGAATGGAGGTAGTGGCCTTGCAACCAATGGTAGGGGTTGCTCATCCACCGCCTCTTCAACTGGCTTCTCTGGCTCCTTAGATTTTTCTGATGTTGATTCTATAGTGGTTGGCCTCTCATTAAAAGTCACCTATTTTCTCTTTTTCGACTGGGCTTCTTCTAATTTCCTGCCATTCCTCAATGACACGGCATTAAGGGATGCCTTGGGATTAGCTTCATTATCGCTTGGAAGATCTCCAACTAGTCTAGTGTTTTGGGCACTGGCAAGTTGTCCCATTTGCCTCTCAAGATTTTTGAGATCGGTCCTGAGCTGTTGATTGTCAAGCAACAACTTCATCAACAAATCATTCGTATTCTATTCTACCTGTTGAGGTGGCTTCTGAGGTTGATTGAAATTTCCTTGGGGTCTATAATGATTCTGATTCGGCTAATTTCCACCCCATGAGAAGTTGGGATGATTCTTCCAATTTAGGTTGTAAGTGTTCTCATATTGTGCATGCTGATTCATTGGACCTCTGCTCTGTTACCCCACATAGTATATAGATTCAAGATTCGTGGGGCACATGTCACTCATATGACTGTCACCATATAGTTCGCAGCAAAGAGACCTCGGTTGTACATGTTGCATCTGTTGTGTTTGTTGCATTGTCATTCTATTCATCTGATTTGCCAATTTTGCTATATCAGCTCTCATGGCTGAGAAGTCATCAAGCTCAATCAACCCGGCTGATTTCTGTTTAATTACTCTTCGTGAGTCCCTATCTCCTTGCCAATTATGGTCATTAGTAGTGAAGTTATTTACCAAGAGTTGGATTTCACTGTACGGCCTCGCCATGCAACTACCCCCACAAGCTGAATCAAGATTCATCTTTGATGCCTCATCTAGCCCATTAACGAAAGTGTGACCCAATACCTCATCAGTCTAACAATGATGCGGGCAGTCTCTGAGTAGCTTCTTGTATCTATCCCAAGCTTGACAAAGTGTCTCGCCATCCCGCTGTTGGAACCCAAGAATTTGACTCCTCAACGACTTTGTCTTCTTAGTGGGGAAAAACATGATTAAGAATTTCCTTGCTAGATCATCCCAAGTGTGGATTGAGTTCGCGTGCTCCTTTTACAACCATTCCTTAGCTTCCCCCAACAGTGAAAAGGGGAAAAGTGTCAGCCTGACATAGTCCTTGGAAACGTTTGGATAATTGTAAGTGTCCGTAATTTCCAAGAAATTCTGAATGTGCCTCTGCGGATCTTCATGAGATAGACCCACATATTGCCCGTGGACTGAATCAGCTGTACCATGTACTGTTTGAGTTCAAAATTTCCTGTGATCTCAGGCTTCACAATATCCTGAGTAATATTAGCAAGATTGGGCCTTGCGACTTCTATCATCGCACGCTCTTCGTTCCTGCCATCTCGATTGGTTGTGGTTGAACTACAATGCCAACTCTCTTTCTATTCTAGTTCTAGCTTCGACTTCCCTCCTCACTCTTTGAAGTGTTCTTTCAATTTCAGGATCAAGAGGAAGGAGATTGTTTGTGCTTCTACTCCTCCGCATTCAAGAGAAGAGCTTGTGTTAACATAAACAAGGTAAACTGAAAATTAAAACTTGACAAAATAACTAATAAAAGCTTAAGTCAGTCAAGCAGCTAATTTTTAAGTCCCCGGCAACGGCGCCAAAAACTTGTTGCTCCCAAATGCACAGGCAAGTATACGTGGTCGTACAAGTAATAAAATGATAAGTCGAGTGTCGAACCCATAGAGACTTGTATCAACTACCCACTAATTCACCAATATTGTTATTCAGTCAAGCTATTTGAATTCAAGAATGTGATTATACTAAACTATAATTCTAAGTAATAACTAAATTATCAAGCAGTAAAATGATTGTTATGTATTCAATAGAGACAAATATTCCAGGGTTGTGATCGATTCACCAATCCTATTGTGTCCTAGTTAACTCTCCCTCTCATACAATTCACTCATGGTTGCTAATTAATCGATAATTGCTCTCATAGCCTTCTCCTGAAGTACTACTCGCCTATTCAAAATACATCAACGCCTATATTCCTATGAAATTAATCTATTAAGAACGCATTAAGATTATGATATTTTATTAAGCACGGTGACTAGGTATATTCATATCCTAACCACAAATTACCCCCCCCCCCCCCAAGAGCAGAGATCATGCTCTCTTCAATTCTTCTCTAATCTAAACATGGCTTTCCCAAGCATAGCATAGATAGTAAATAGAATCTAACTATTTTCCAGACAATTAAGCAATTAATCAGAGAATTGAAGAAACAACCATATATTAGTGAATTGTAATCAAGTTCAAGTAAACGTTAAACAACAATATTCATGGCTAAATCACAACCCCAGAACAATGGGTTTTAGCCACGCATGATACTAGCAAACAATTTCATAAGTTTGGATAATTGAAAATACTAAGAAAAGATGAAGAAAGCTGAGATCTCTCCGCTTTCGAATGTTTCTCGTGTGTATTCTCCCTCAAAAGTGGCGTCTATCCCTCACAAATAAGTTTAGTCTGGCTTTTATACGTGTTGGGTAGGTCTAGGGCCAAAATAACCGTGTCCCAGGCAAATTTGGACAAGTTTCACGTCCCTGACGTGCTGCCTAGATCTGCCATGTTATGTTTTCTGTTTCTGGCGCCACAGGTGGCGCTAGGCACTGCCTGTGGCGCTGCAATGTCCATTTTTCATGCTTTCGTCTGTTTTGGCCTAATTTCGCACATTTCGCCCCCGATTGCTCCCGGATCATTCCTACACATAAAAACATCTAAAATTAATGTAAATCAACACATTTCACATCTTAAATTCATGAAACAAAAGTAAAATATGAGGCGATATACACACAAATATATATAATTTAAGCTAAACATCACAAGGATTGTGAAGAAGTACGCTCATCTCTCTCAAAAAAATGTCACAAGTCCGGCTCTAAGTACCATAAGCTTTTCCCTTATGTAAATCACCACTAATGTAAGCTCACTCAACTCGAAATCATATAGGGCTTTTGCGGGGATGTAATGAAGGCTTTTGGATCAAGGTAGGACTTATCCGCATATGATGGTTTCATCTTTCCTTAAGCACTCCATTTTCTCATTTCGGCTCATACTTTCTTGACTCTTTGAGTCATTTTCTTCTTCCTTAGGGGGACTAGAGAGCACACTGTCACTCCTTCATGCTCATGACAATCATTTTTCTCATTTTCTAATCATTCCGCACCTTTCATCATTTCTTTCTTTGAATCCCTTCAATTTTCACTTTCTTTTTGACATATTTCTTTTTGGCCTTTCTTCCTTTTCTTTGCCTTCCCACTTTTTTTTCATTTTTTTGTTCTTTGTACCATTTATCATTTTCACATTCCTCGTCTCTCCCCCAAACTTATGCTTTTGCTAATTTTTTATCAAGAATGCCAAGGAAAGATCGAGTGCCACGAGAGGGTCATTATAGAACGGATAAAGGCTTGTAACATGGTTATTGAAAGAAAAAGGGCTTCGGCTCAAAGGGGTTGACTATGGATATCATATTGGTAGGCTATGGAAGCTTTCAAGTTTCAAATTGGATCAAGGAGAGCCTACAATCATTTCTCAAGTCGAGCTACACTTAGAATTTCGCCTAGACAACATTCAGGGCGAGTTCTAGACTTATTGGCATGGAACTTGGACTTGCAATTCAATACCTCACCTCTCAAGCTGCTGGATTGTTAAAGAGAATAGAGTCGAGGGCCCACAACAACCCCATCTAGGATTGAACAACACAAATGGCTCAAAGAAACCACTCGATGATTGTTTTAGTCAACACAAGAGTCTAAAGGTCACAACTAGAGCTATTCTTTGCCAATCAACTTGTTTCTAACCATAAGGTCGAAGGTAAATGTGTTAGCATCAAGTGTAGCCTGCTTGAGACAGTTTTATTCATTACTACTATTTACACCAAAACATAAAGAAAACGGACTCAATCCCTTAAGAAGGTTGTCACGCCATCCATCGTTGGGAAGAGCCACCCGATTCACACACATCCACCTTTGAAAAGAACCGTGAAATTAAGAAAACCAATGGCTTATTCTTCACATAAATCATAAAAAAAGAAGCTAACAACTTAAAAAGAAGCTACTAAAGGAAATAAGATGCAATGCTACGAAGGGAAAATAATGAAAGAAGTTATGAAGTAAACTACGGAAATTAAAATAAATATGTACAAACTTGAGGTAAAGCGAATATATACATAAATGGAAATGAATATATACATCAAATGGTAAAAATATATACATACCAAAAGTGAAAATAACGAATATATACATACCAAAAGTCAAAACAAAGAAAAATGGTGTAATGGTTATTACATACCAGATGTCATCAAATCAAAATGGACCACCCCCTAAATGAAAGATAGCATTGTCCTCAATGCTAATATCAAATAAGAACATGGAAAAGGGGTAGAGAGTAAAGAAAACTTCCTATGTGGTCTCTGTCTGCATCGGTCCTCAACCTGAACAGGCTCCTCAACATCCTCTAACTGTATCTATACATCCACTTACTGGGGGACTACGGGATTGCTGAGCATCTGAATTAGCTCCTCAGCAGTGTGTGATGTTGCAGCTGGCTCCTCAGACTACTGGCTGCTGCCCCTGGTGCTTCGGGCTCTGCTGCATGTTCTGCTAGCTGTCCTCCATGAGAAGGTCAATTGGTAGGTCTCCTGCATGTGCAATCTTCTCAACCTCCTTAGCCAGCTTCTCCACGGACTTTTTTGAGGCCTGAGACTTCTTCATCTTCCTAACCTGCTTGGTCAGCTCTACAATGACCTTCCCGTATGTATCAAGAGTCTCCAGGATCTTCTTCTGGTGGTCCAGAATTTTCTTCAATGAGTCCTCCACTGATGAAGCTACCTGAAGCGCTGCTGGGGCTGAAGACTGTGCTGCCACTGCACTAGATATGGTAGGCAGCTTTGTGGTAGCTGCCTGCATCCAGTTATTGAGACTAGATAGTGTCTGGGAAACCCTCAGTATTGTCTGAGGGTAGGTGGAAGATGAAGGCACTGGTAGTAGCACTGAGATAGATGGTCCGGAAGATGGAGGGGGCATGACTGCTGCTCCAGTAGAAGTACCGGTAGTTGTGGAGGGCTTGGCAACTGATCTAGTGGCCACTACCCTTGTCTCTTCAGACTGGCCAGTGGAGGTAGTGGCTTTACCCTTGGATTTAGGGTTGTCCGCTCCCTGGAGGTGATACTATGAGAAAGACTTTTTAGCCTTCACCTCTACATCAAAATGCCTCGGCTCTACCTCTTGATCTTTGAAATACTCAATGAGGAAGTTGGGGTAGGGATACGATCTCTCTTCTTTCTGGACTGCATTGGAAATGTTGTAGGAAATCAAGTTCCCCAAATTAATAGGGTAGCCTGCCATGATAGAAGCTACCAATACTGCCCGGGAAATTGGGAGGGCATTCTCATTCTAGCATGGGTCAAGACGGATGCATAGGAATGTCTGACACCCTTTTGCTTCAAAATCAAGGGTGGCTCTGACAATTGGCACTCCTGCTGTGAGCCATACAGGTATTGTCCCTGGAATAGCAAGTATCACAGCTAGCCATGGGGGAACTGCCTTACCCAAGGCTAGCTTCTCCAGGTATTGCACAACCTCAACCTCCTCAAACCCTACGTATCTGTTCATTGCTTGGCCATCAAACCGGATTTTCATGTTCCGGACCTCCGTCACTTTTGTACCCTTTTTGTTGTGGGCAACATTGGCATAAAACTCCTTGATGAGGTATTCATTGGCATCAAGTACAGGGCCGGAGAACCATTTCCATCCTTTTCT